AACGCTTGCTTCAAAGTCAAGGTAATGTGAGAAAAAACCAGGATCAAGAAAGTGAAATTTCTTCTCGTGAACATGTGAGTGGTCAAAAAGCCGAGAAAGTGGCCACGGCTTCAAGGAGAGGCAAGAAAGGCTAGAAGGTAGGAGGCTGGGTTTGAAAGGTAGACCTGGGGCCCTGGCCGGCGAGGCTTAGTGGTTAGGCGGTGGCCTGCCCACCAAAGGGTGTTGGGCTCAATCCCTGTCAAGGCCGCATGCCTGGGTTGCAGGTTTGATCCCCGGCCCCGGTCAGGTTGCCTGTGGGAGGCAACCCATCGATGTGCGAGCACGTCGATGTCTCTCTCTCTCTCTGTCTTTCTCTGTCTCTCTGTCTCTGTCTCTCCCTTCCACTCTCTCTAAAAAGCAATGGGAAAAATCTCCTCGGTGAGGATTAATAGAAGTTAGACACACAGGGTTCCAGTCCCAGTACCACATCTAAAGCAACATTTTTAATTTTTTTTGTAAGGCAGCTTTCCTAGCCTCTCTGTGTCTCAGTTTCTCTTTACGTGTAAAACTGGAGAAAGGGGAGTTTTGATACTTATATTACCTTCTCTAGCCTGGGCTTTTATGAGAAGTAAAAGGAGATAATGAGTGTGAAGCTTTAACATGGGGCCTGGCTCGCTCATAAATGTTCATGACGATGATTAATTATTTATGATAACCTTCAAAGATGAAACCAGCAAACGGCACTGAAAGAGAAACTGCAGATAGTGCACAGAATGTCTTTGAGGAACTATTTCAGGTGCAAAATAAAATGCACATAGAGATGTGAAATAATGTTTGAGAACCAAGAAAGGAAAGGACAGCTCTCGAATAATTCATTTAACACACACAGCTCAAAGCATGGGCCGCACTGTCGAAGTGTCTGCTGGAGGGAAAGGACGCCCGGGTCTAGCAGACTCGCTGCCGGCTTCTTACAAGACAACTGAGACTGTCCAGGCCCCTGCCTCCGTGAAATATGAGAGAAGGTTGAAATGCGCTCCACCATGAAATAATGAGGGTTAATAATCGCTGCCTGAAGAAAGAGGAAACATGCTCACAATTTGAGGTCACATCCTACGTGCCCATCAAGAAAGGATGTTAGTTAAATAAATTATGGTGCATCTCTATCCTGGGCGACTGCTAAAAGGATGTATGGTTCTCTATGTGCTGACACGGAGAAACCCTTGATATGGTGTTTAGTGACAAAGTGCAGAACATTGTGTATATGAAATTGCCCTATTTTATGAGAATATTTTATATGATTATAGTTACATAAATGAACCAGATACACAACCGAGAGTCTGGGAACTGGGGCTAGGTTGTGGGAGGGACTTTTCCTTTTATATTCTTTACCCAGAGGAAGGCAAAATGGTACACACTGCTTAAAAACCTGGAGTCTGCAGGCCTGCCGCTTCAGTAACCTCGGGCTGGTTACTTAACCTCTCTGAGCCTCCTTTACCCGCCTGGAAAATGAGAACGCTGGCCCGCTAGGCTGTCATGAGGATGAGATGAGGTCACGAACATTTCACCCAAACAACACCCGGAGCAGGGCCTGGCACCCAGAACCCCCCATCACTGCCAGCTGTGAGTGTTATTATTACACCTCCAGTGATGTCTGTGTCATTTTACCACAAGCATGAGCCACTTCTGTGAGTCTTTAAAAGCCTAAGTGAGGAGAATAGAGAAAATTAATAAGGTTATAAAAACAGGGGGATTTTGTGGCCATTCTTGAACGCTTGCTCCTCTGGGACAGCATCGGCAACATTTTGTTATAATTTCCTCAGACTCTTGTGAGTATTTTAATTGGCACTGTGTTAAATTTACGGATTTACTGAAGGGGGACAGGCGGTTTCACACTGCTGCGCCTTTAGAGCCAAGGTCAAGGCATGTCTTTACGTTTTCTCTTATGTTCTCAGTGTAATTTTAAATTTTTTCTTTATATAGGTCTGCATATTTTTTGGTTAGTTTGTTCCTAAATTCTTTCTTTATTAAAATTATAAATGAGATCTTTTCTTCATTATATTCTATGACTTGATCTTGTTTACAGGTAGGAGAGTGATGAGCCCTCCCAGATAATGAAATGCGTTATGGAATTACAATAATTAAAACCAGTTTGGTGCTGAGGAGGAAATGAGAGGATCGAAGAAGAAGACAGTGAACCCAGAAATAGACTCCAATTCGAATGGGAGTTTAGAATATTCAAATCAAGATGGGGAAGTGAATTAATCTTTAAATTAATATGAAAACCAGCTAACCATTTCAAAAAAGATAAATGTCTTCCCCGGTGTTTGCAACAAGTAAATCCAAATTAATCAGAGATATTTTTTACTGAAACTATAAGATTAATCAGTGATTTTTTAAAAAAATAAACCTATTATAGAAGTAAAACAAAACATAGATGAATTTATTTATAATCTTAGAATAAGAAATGCTTTCTAGGCAACATGTATAAAGCTTAGTCACACTAAAGGACAGTAAAATGTTTATGTGGTCACATCTATCCAAACATCTGTTTGGAAAAAAATATATCATAAAGTCAAACATCAGCCAACCAGGAGCATACTTGCAACATATAGGGTGGGGCAAAGTAGGTTTACAGTTGTGAGTATGCAAAATACAGGTTTTATTCTTATATTATTATTTCTTAATTATTGTGTTATTTTCCATACGAATAACTGTAAACCTACGTTTGCCCCACCCTGTATATGAAAAGGGTCAATTTCCTTAATTTACAGAGTTCATACAAATCAATTAGGAAAAAAACCTGACAACCCAAAGGAAAAATAAAACAAATAAGGCAATCATATCATAAACACAGTTGGTGGGAATGAAGGTCTACTGTCCAGTAAATATCAAGAGTAAACACAGGAACAGAAGCCCCAGCCCTCAGGCAGGATCTCGGGGGCCAGAGAGGAGCAGAGACCAGACGCCTGACCCAGCAGGCCAGAGCACCCACTGCTCCCGGGCCACGCCGTCTGCAAGCTGCAGCCCACGGGGATCCGTGCTTTGTTTGCTAGGATAATTTTGAATGGTGGAGTTAAGTCAAACTCACCTGGATGTCAGGTGTGAAAAATGAAGAATTACTTTACTGTTTGAAATGACTTTTTAGTTTGGTGCGTTCAAGTTTCAACTTTAAGAAAAAAAAAGAATTATATCGGGGTGTAGTTGCTGCCTAAACCTGACTGAGTTGCTCCCTTCCTGTACCCTTCTGTTGGCAAGCGCTCCATCTCATGCATGGAAGTGTTATGCTAATATACGTATGAATAAAAGAAATTTTATAAATAAATTTATATATACATATATATATTTGTATGTGGTAATAGTATATGTGGACATATGTTGTAACACCTAACATGGAACACTTAGTCTGTGATGGGGGCCGTTAAGCACTTTATATATAGTGTGTCCCAAAAAATGTACACACATACTTTGAGTAATAATAAAGACAGTGTTTATTAAAATACATTTTATTTTCAAAATTGAAATTTTGAAATTAAAGTGTATATACATCTTTTGGGACACTCTGTGTATATATATAGTATTAATCCTTACAATTACTTTATTAGATTAGAACTGTTATCAGCACCATCTGTGGTTGATTTAAAAGGACCACAAATTCTTTGACACTCCTCCCACTGCGCAGTGAGGTTGAAGTCCCCTCCCTCGAATCTGGGCAGGCTGTGTGGCTGCTTTGGCCAGTAGTTTGTGGGGAAAGTGATGTAGTGACCGTTTCCAGGCCCACACCTCAAGAGCTGCCGTTTCTCGCCTCCGGTACACTCACTTTCAAAGCCCTCGGCTGCCATTGTAAGAAGCCCGGCTACTCTGCAGGAGCATCACCTGNCTGCTTTGGCCAGTAGTTTGTGGGGAAAGTGATGTAGTGACCGTTTCCAGGCCCACACCTCAAGAGCTGCCGTTTCTCGCCTCCGGTACACTCACTTTCAAAGCCCTCGGCTGCCATGGTAAGAAGCCCGGCTACTCTGCAGGAGCATCACCTGGAGTCTCGAAGCCCATGCAGAGAGGGAAAGGGGCACAGCTCAGCCCGGCCTTCCAGCGAGTCCCACGAGGGAATTCCTCCTGGACCGTTTAGACCAGAACAGCTGCCAGCTGAAAACCACCAAGTGACCCAGTCAGTGCCGCAGGGAGCAGAGTCCTGCCTAAATCTCTGACTCACAAAGTCATGAGATGCAATAAGAGGGTCATTGCTTTAGACACAGATGTAGAAGCAAAATCACAGTGAGCGAAGCAGCATGTTGTGAATCACATGACTAATTAATGGTGCAGCTGAGATTCCAACTCAGGCAGCCTGCTTCAAAAGCCACTCTTAACCACTCCACTGAATTATTTTAAAATTTTAATTAACTTCTCAAGATAGGGTATATATAACATCTTGAGTCTTCTTAGCATCCACTGTAATTCTTATTTAATGAAGAATTTGTGCCAAAGGCATATGTCCTCTCTGCATTCGCAGTGATCTATTTGTGCTTATTTTCACAGCCTTCTGAACTTTAAAATGTGATGAATTTCTCCAGCAGATCTGCCTGTGTTTATTTTAAGACAGTAGGATAGAAATCCTCATTTCTTTTCTGCCTTTAACATAGATCATATCAGCATTGCTGCTTAATACCAAAAAGGCAGGCTAATTCTGGGACTCAAGAAGCTGATGTCTATAGTATTAAATGTGGCTTAGTAATTTTCCAAGGAGACAGACTCTGGGGGCTTGGCAGTTTCCCTGATAAGCTATCATCCCATCTATTTTATATTAGAATGTATTGTTTACTGAAAAGGGGGTAGGAGTGGGGCAGAGGAGACTCAATACCAGCTTCTTGACAGGCAAATAGATCTGTACCTGCAGCCTTTGTGGAGCCAAAAAGGTCAGGGGTCGAGGATCCAGAGGTACTGATGAAATCAAGGACTTCAGTTAATTAGACACTTCAGCAGTACGCACAGTGGGTTAGACTGTTGTTTCCAAGGTAGAATAAATAACACGATGTATCACATCAAGGAAAGCAGGTTCTCTCTGTGGATGTGATCTTCTAGTTGTTGGACATTTTCACAACTAGGGGTAATCAACAAAGCCTAGACTTATTTCTTTGGTGTCACTTCCTAAACATTTTTATTTCAACCTCCCAGAGACTAATCCCATTGAGAAAAAGAAGACAACCCTCATAGGCACACAGTTTTCAGCAATGTTTTCTAGAACTTAAAACATAAAGTTAGTGAGTAAGAGATACAAACTTCCAATTATGAAATAAATAGTCACGGAGATGTAATGTGCAACACAGGGAATATAGTCCATAATATCTTAATAATTTGTATGGGGACAGACAGTTACTAGACACATCAAGGTGATCACATCATAAGGTATATAAATGTGTTATCACGATATACATCTGAAACTAATACAATATTGTATGTCACCTATGCTTTAATATAAAAAAACATAAAGTTAGTGAGCAAGCAAAAACACTACTAAATATGCTAATTTAATAATTCTAGTTAAATTTGGTTTCCTGAGTTACACTCTAGAATTCGGGGACTTTAGAGATCAATCAGGCAAATGGTTCTTCCAATAAAAGAAAATCACAATGTGAAACAATGGTTCTCTGTACCGGGTGCTGTTCTAAGCATTTTACATCGATTCAGACATTTATCTTCACAACCACTCTATAAAGTCAATATTATTATTGTGCCCATTTTATAGATGATGAAACTGAGGCTGCGAGAGATTCAATAACTTACCTAAAATGATGACGACAGGAAGTAGGGGGAGTATGGAGTTAAACCTTAGTGGACAAATTTCTATACCCTCCCCCTCCCTAATTAGAAAATAGAACAGCTCCCATTTAATTCATTTTTATACACTACATTCTTTATCTATATATTTATATAAAGAATTTATTTATTTGTCAATTATGCCACAATAAAATTGAAAAAAATCACACACATCCAAGTGAGGAACATTCTACAAAATGCTGACCAGTGCTCCTGAAAACTGTGACAGTCATCAAAAACAAGGAAAGTCTGAAACTCACAGTCAAGAGGATCCTAAGGAGACATGAAAACTTAAAGTAATGTGATGTCCTCAATGGGATCTTGGAGCAGAAGGACATTAGAGCAAAACAACGGAAATCTGACTAAAATATGGACTTTGGTTAATAATAATGATGTTAGTTCATTAATTGTAACAAACATACTCTATTAACACAAAATGTTAATAATAGGGGAAGGTGGTTGCGCTGTACATGGGAACTCTTCACTATCTTCATAATTTTCTGTAAATCTAAAAATATCCTAAAGTAAAGTTTATTTTTTTAAAAAGAGAAATATATGCTTTATTATTTTTTTAAATATGTGAAAATCACTTTTTTAATCTAGCTATTGTGTAGTCTGTGAAGCAGCAAAAGTCCCCCGTGGTCTCTGGACCTGTCCACAAAGGACTGGAGCTGTGCTGGGTCCAGGATCAGAGCTTCTCCCTGGCGCACAGACATATGTTTCTTCCAGTATATTCAGCCACTCACGAGTGATATAAATTACACTGAATATTAGTGCTCCTTTTTTCTTCCATTTTATCTCTGTCTACATATAAAAACATACTGCTGGTGGGAAAAGTAGTCTTATTTTAACCTGCTCCCACTTCTCAAAAGGAGAAGACTTTATGAGAATGTTACTATCTTGAATTTAAGCACATGACATCACCACACCCACGCTGGGGCCAGGAGGAACTGGGTGTATATAAATCTCTGTGCTTCCTATAGGACAACAGCAATCTTAAAAATTATACTATTTGCCATAAATAGAAGCAAGCCATAAAGAAATCAAAGCACAATCATGTTATTAAATTCTCACTTGAAACAGTTGCCTGCTAAGACTCTGGGCCTGAGGCCTGCTTTCTCCTTTTCTTATAAAGGAGATTATAGAAAGATGTTAAAGACATTAACACCAAACTGAGACTTCCTCCCTTTCTTAATAACTAAATAACACTTTCTTTTTCTTTCAGCAACAAAGCCAATCATACCGCTTTCATCGTTCCTTCTAACCTTATAAAGAAATTCCTGCTGCTCCTAAATAGTTCAGCAGGCTTCCAAGAATAAGTTATGACGGGGGAGGGGATCACCTCTTTGTCTTTTTCAAAATAGCAGAGCAAACCAGTGACTAGGAAGGGAAGAGGGGAGCTACAAATAAATTTTATGTTGTACGAACCAAACACTACACTAAATGTCTCATGATAACTGTAAACCCAACCCATAATAGGCTGCTCAAGTCTAGGATTGTGAAATGAACGATGCTTTGCATGGCTCCATGACTGTGCCAAAATCTGGCTTCAGGATGCACCGTGGGTAGCTCCACAACCAGCTCAAAGCTCTACACAGAACCCTGGGCAGCTGACGTAGACCTCAGGCCCGAACAATTCTTTCTCTATGACAATTCACAGCTCAGAGAATTAGATCTGCAGAAGGTTGCTACCAGACTGGATTCAAGCAAGCACCAGTCCTCTGGGGCTCCTCTACACCTTTGAAGACCAGCACTCTGCACGGGGACAGAGGAAGCTCTAGGCAAAGACAGTAAAATCCACTTGCACGCACGCACACGAGGTAAAGTAACAATGAGAAGACTTTCCACCAAGGATGCATAAGCTATGCAAAGTCTGCTCTGGAGTTTATAAGCCAGGCTATAAAAGAGAGGAGTTCCACATTTTTATTTTTTTAAACTTTAGTCTTGGTAAAACATATTTCAGACTACAGTACCAAGTGTGCACATCTGTGAAAAAGAGAAATAACACAGTTGACCAAAAAATGAGTGCGGAATTCACTTTATCAGCATTTCTAAACACAGCTCTTAAAATAATATCTAAATATAGGCTTTCCATGCCAAAGTGGAGACAGATGTGCTTTAATATAATATCCTGATGTTTGTCTATTTCCTGATGACCCTTAGACTTCTAGGGTGGGCTTCCATTTTCCCTTTTGAAACAGATGTGGGTAAATGTCTATTCCCAAAACCAAAAATCCTGATCTACAGGGAATCCAACCAGCTTTTCCCTCCTTCTCTCACAGTTACGTCAGCCAGACCCCACTCTAAGTCACCCGCTAAGTCTGACTATAGACCATAATCAGAAAATAAAGCAGAAATTCTTTGATAATTCAGGAGGAAAGCTTTCATTTCAAGCACTCAAAAAGCAGTAACCTGAACACAGTGCCAGAGACAACTCAAGAAAAGTGTAATTTTTCCCTTTATCGTCCCCCCAACTGGATATTCAAGAAATGCCATCTTATACAAATATGTGTAACAATCATGCTAACTAAATGTTGCCTAGCAAAGAGCCTATTAAAGCATTAATCAGTAAGAATGGCGTGCAGCTCGGCATAAGCATTGTTAGGCTCTACAGGACACTAAAATGGCAGTTTGTCTCTAAATTACTATTTCTTCCATGCTTGGAAATCCTTTGGCTCTCTTCAATAGGCAATCATTTTCCTTTGGAACTCTGTTTATAGTCTTGTTAACAGGCTTTTATTTCCCCCAAAAACAACTTTGCAAAAAAGCCAACTTCATGACCCCTGTTCAAATATCACAAATTTACTCAGCTACAAATCAAGGCAACTTTACTATAAAGTCTTTATGATGCCTTCATAGAAAATTATTAATAAATCAAATCCTTTTAAAAAAATATATTTGGGGGGCTCATTAAAAAACAAAACAACCTTTGATCAATCCAAGAATTTTTGACAATGCTGATAATCATCTTTTAATGGACTTGTTTTAAGTTCAGACTTTTAGCAGTAGAAGAGTACTTAAAGGACATACCTATAATTATTGCTCATCAAGGTATTATACCTCTTGTTTCCTTTTAGATTAAGCTTTATGAATAGCAAAAAATATTTTGAAAACTTCAAATATTAGAACATTACCAAAACATAATTATGAGAAAAATTCAGTTTTAAAATTATGATTTTGAAAAAAAAGTATTTTGTTTTAGTCTGTTAAACTGTTACTACAGAAAGAGAATCTGTAACTGGTTGTTCTTAGAGGTTAATTTTGTACCTTTAAAAAAAAAATTACTAAACAAGGATTACTAAACAATTACTAAATCCTGGTCCTTCATTTAACCAGGGTTTTTGTACCTGTTAAAAACAAAAACAAAAACAACAACAAAAAGCAACTAAAAACTAATTCAGAAGTCACAAGAAAGTAAAATTTTGTTTACTAAGGAATATGACAGGAAGAAATAATCATTTTACAGGTAAAAGCAAATTCATGGGTTCCTCAAAAAATTTAGAACATAGAATTACCATATGATCTAGCAATTCTTTTTCTCTATATACCCAAAAGCTAGAACTTGAACAGATATTTGCGCACCAGTGTTCACAGGAGTACTATTGAAAATAGTCAAAAGGTGGAAACAACCCAAATGTTCATTGACAGATGAATGGATTTTAAAAAGTGGTATATACATTTTCATATTATTCAGCCTTTGAAAGGAAAAATAATTCTGACACATTACAACATGGATGAACCTTAAAGAATTATACCTGAGCAAAATAAGTCAGAACCCAAATGGCAAGTGTTGCATGATTCCTCTTGTATGAGGTACCCCGAGCAGTCAGATTCACAGAGACAGAAAGTAGAACGGTGGTTGCCAGGAGCTGGGGGAAGGGGGGGCTGGGGTTACTGTTAAGAGGCATGGGGTTCCCATGTTACAAGATGAAGAGAGTCCTGATGGATGACGGTGAGGGCTGCCCAGCAATGTGAATGTCCTTATAGCCACTGAACTGTACACCTGAAAATGGCTGAAAAGGTAAATTTTATGTTATATATATTTTACCACAGTAAACACTATGGTGGCATTTTGAGCTGTGTTGATCATCGGTGACTTTTTTTTTAAATATATTTTTAATTGACTTCAGAAAGAGAGGAAGACAGAGAGACAGAAACATCAATGATGAGAGTCATGGATCAGCCGCCTCCTGCACGCCCCCTGCTGGGGGTCGAGCCTGAAACTGGGCCTGTGCCCTGACCGGGAATCGAACCTCGATCTCCTGGGTCACAGGTTGATGCTCA